CTAAAATAAAACCAAATCATTTAAAATAAAACCAAATCATTTAAAATAAAACCAAATCATTTAAAATAAAACCAAATCATTTAAAATAAAACCAAATCTAAAATAAAACCAAATCTAAAATAAAACCAAATCATCTAAAATAAAACCAAATCTAAAATAAAACCAAATCTAAAATAATAAAACAAAATCTAAAACAAAATAAAACAAAAAACAAAAGAATAGAATAAAAGAATAGAACAGAACAGAACAGATGAGAGGCTAACCCTTGCCAATTTGACTGAATGCCAACGCCCTCCTTACTTAAAGAGCCAATGTTCCTGTGCTCCGACTGGAGAGCCTCCGGGGCCATCCTTTTAGGAACAGGCTGGACCAGATCCCACTTGGCTGTCGGCAAGTGAACATCTCTCTCCTTCAGGTCTGTGACTGCCTGTAAAGAGTAAGAGACAATCATCCCCTTCTCATCCAATTCCACTGCAATAGAAAGAAGCTTGAAGAAAGAAGCTGGAAGAAAACTTTTACCCTCACTGTAAAATCCTAACCTATTTAAAATAATTTCCTTTACTGATCCATTTTTATTATCACAAGAATGGAATGGATCCTCTATTACAGTGAGGGTGAACCTATGGAAGTGGCACACAGAGCCATCTCTCTCTGGGCACATGAGCCATCACCCGTTGCTCTTCCGGGTTCCAGCTGGTCTTCACACAGGCGGGAGCGCTACACATGCACGCCAGAAAGACCAAGTGGCCGGTGCGCATGCGCACACTAGAAGATAATCTTCCCAGCATGTGCATGCACCCGGGGTGGCTGGTCTTTACATGCACATGTGTGCTAGAAACCGGAAGATTATATTCACGGCATGTGCATGCGCAACAGGCATCTGCTCTTATGGTTTCCGGCACGCACGCTCCAATTTTGGCACTCAGGTTTGCCAATGCCGCTCTATTATCAGGGGAGTCAAATTCTTGTCAGCACGGCATCGGCATCTGACGTATCGCGACTCTCCCCCCTTTCGCTAAACCGGGCATCAGCATGGCCAGCGCGTGACTCATCTGGCGGCCTGCAGACCGCGAGGTTTGAGAGCCCTGCTCTATATTAACAATGCAGGAAGTCTTTGATTTAGATCCGTTTAGTTAACAATGGTTTCGAATTACAGCAGCATGGAAAAAGAGTGACTTATGACCCATCCTCACACTCTGCATCCCTCCCACAGTCACAATTGCAATATGGGCGGCAGCGATGCTCTGGTGATCACGTGGCCAGCATGACCACTACACCCTGAGGCACACGGAACGCTTCCCATCGCACTGGTACCTATTTATCTACTCACATTTGCGTGCTTTCAAAATGCTAGGTGGGCAGGTTGCGTGGCATGACAAAACCGCGCTCGACGAAGCCGCGCCCGATTAAACCGCGGCGCTGTCATCAACAGGGCGACAACAGCGAGCGCGGAGAAAGAAGGGCACTTTAAATAGCGCTTTGAAAGCAAGCCGATTCAACTTAAGGTAAGGGTTAGGTTTAGGGTTAGGTTTAGGGGGGTTAGGTTTAGGGGTTAATTTTAGGTTTAGGGGTTAATTTTAGGTTTAGCGTTTACAGCGTGCTTCTGTCTCCGCGCTGTTGTCGCGCTGTTGATGACGTCAGCTACGCGGTTTAGTCGAGCGCGGTTTAGTCGGACGCAGTTTTGTGGTGGAACCCGCAGGGTGAGCTGAGGGAAGGACCAGGGGCTCAACCCATTGGGTGGTCTGAAACCTGGACCGTCAGCTTTCTCCTCAGTTCTAGGTGGCTTCCCTCCTTGATTAGTTTCCATTCAT